ATGAGAAGCTACTGCGCATTCCCATGGATAAGTTTTTCAGCACCTATGAGAATAGACCAAGACATCTGAAAACGTAATCTGGTCTAATACAGAAAGCCACAGAACTGAAGAAAGCATTACAAATCGATGACAAACGAAAAAGCCTCTCTCTCCCCATTAGCAGACACTGATGTAGTGTGTTGCACCCAACTGCTTGACTTCTTCAGGAAATCAAACACCCCTCCAGAGCAAATGCGCGCTCTGGCTCTTGAGACAATCAATGTCAACTCTCCTGGAGATCAATGGCTTCATGTCTTCACTGATGGGCCATACATAGAAAACCAATCAAACATTGGTGCAGGTGTCTATTCTGAACTCTTCTCTTTCTACGCAGCTGTGGGACACAATAAATCCGCTTTTGAAGGAGAAATATAGGTCAATAAGATAGCACTATGATAATTATTTTGCCTAGATACGAAATTCACCAAAGAGGTGATACTTTCGGGCTCGCAGTCAGCAATAAACTCAATTGGAAAGAGAGCCACCCAAAACAGCTGAGATAAAGGAATGAAGAAACGTCTATCGGCTGCTGAGAGAGAAAAACAAAACAGTTGTCCTACAATGGATTCCTGGTCACTGTGGCATTAAAGGCAATGAGATTGCTGACACACTTGCTAAGAAGGGGACAACGATTTAGCAATGCATGGACCGGCCGATGTCTTTCCACGCGATGAAGACCTTTATCAGGAGAGAATTCAAGACCTCAAGGTACAACGAACTTAAAGCCCAAACAAAGGAGAAACAGTGGACTGTGGCACTCTCCGACATAGCTGACTGGCCAAGAATCGAAGCCGTTGCTGAGTTTAGACTACGTACTGGACACGATTGCTAGGCACAACACCTTCACAGATTGGAAGTATACACTCAACCAACATGCCCCTATGTGACTAACAGCAGGAAATGGAGAAGACCCACCTGATTCGGTGTCCAGCCTTAAAGACAATGACGGAAACCCAGAGATACTGGGAAGCCAGAAGACAACTAATTAACTGCTATTTATTAACCGCCATATATGCCCCCCCTTGTGAAAGCCGAAGTCTTCTAAGGGGATAATGATAAATATCATGTAAGGCCTTCCATTTGAAGTTATAATAATATTTTGAGAATCTTACAAAAGTATTCCAACTTCAATTAAATTCACTTTTTAAATCGGATTGCTTAATTAAATTTGACTAAGACCTTTTTTACTAGCTCATTTTGCAGAGTCTTGACTGCTCTTAGACAATTTTTCTACTAGTTTTCTGTAAACTGGATGTACCAGCCGTGGTGTACACGGTGCTTGGAATAACTTTTACTTTCGTTGTTTTCGAGATGCGGTAAAAGTACTTATACATATTAAAAAGTGAATTATTCTTCAGTCATACCACTAGAACAAGAATTGGAACCCACCCGAATCGTGGAAAGGAACAGTTTGCCTCATGAAAATTCTCGACGACCATAAAGATGGCGAGACTATGATAGCTGTTTGGTGGTCAATGAAAACTGAGAAATCAAAGCGGCATTTAGTGGAGAAGTGTGGTTAAAGGAAAGCAGCGTAACACACCATCTGATCTAATGTGTTCAGCTGTAAACTATTTATTTTTCCTGCGAGGTGGATGTTTAATATTTTGAAATTAGCGGATTTCAACTGCACCGATCAGTCTCAATAAACAGCTGATGGAATTTCACCTAAATTTATTCAATCATATCTCGTGAAAAAAGCAATTTGTCTTTACCTTCATTGCTATCTTGCCACCACAAAATGGTTGGTCTCTCTCAGTGTTTCTTCAAATGTGATCTGATCAGATCATCGAATACACCAAGTTCATTTAGTCTTTTCCTTTATCTAAACGTCTTGAAGAGTTTGGATGATTAAGTAAGTTGTATGAACTATCGGCAATAAGGAATCGCCCGGTCTTGTGCTTCAATAGCAGAGGAGGGGGTTTTTTAACATGTAGCGAACAGGGGTACTAATGTCATACAGCTGGTGGGAGCATGTGAACCAATAGTCGCGGGGGTACTTTGCACCCCTTTAGCTAGCGGTTATAAGAATTGCCACCGTCCGTCTACTCTTTCTACTCTCTAGGAGCCAGGGACAAAACAAGGAGTTGGGCTTTTTGTGCTTTATCAGCATTCCTTTCTCTTTGCCAACTATTCGGGCGAAGCTGTGAAGGCGTGTGAGTGATATCAAATTTATAATCACTACATTCTTATTCTCCAAGGAATAATGAAAGATAATAACCATTACATTTTATTAGCTGGAAGCAGAATATAAGCATCTTATGCTGCAGCTTTAGTAAGATAGTTTTTACATTTTACTAAATTTAAAAAACGTTTAAAAATCTAAGCGTATAACAATAAATGAACTAATAATAGCCAAATTTTGCAACAGTTTTAAATGATTCTACTTTCTTTAGGGCAAGTATCTTCCACAAACCTGTTACATCTTTGCGCAGTATTGGTTTGATTTCATTAATAGTAATCAGAGATAACATAGAACATGATAACTTTTCAAAAAACTATTGAATAGAACTCTGGTTTTATGCGATTCGTTTTTATTTAAGCATAGTCAATTTAAACGTTATAAAGCAAAAAATGTCTGAGAAGTCGAAAACCTCCGACACTTCAAATGAAGCAAATTTTCCGATCCTTCCAGAAAGCTCTGAACCCATTCCATTGACTGGTTCTAAGGATTCTCAACGTCCAAAAGACAAAAGGAGCGAAATGAAACCTCTTTCGATTGACGTAGATAACATAGAAGCTTGGTTTGGCTCGAGTCCGGAAAGTGTTAGCACTCTCGTTGGATCATTGACACCACAAGGTTTCAGTCCAGACCACCAAGAACAAGGTGAATCGGAGACGACAAAAAAGCTTGAGGAAACAAAGATTGATCCGGAAAAGACGCCTCAGAAACCCAAATCCCCCACTAAATGAGAGCGAACATATTTCCTTTTAGTTTCGATTTTTTAATATTTGTTGTTGTTTTATGCCTTAATGTATACCTTTATCGTGGAAGAAATGCATTTTCATTTTTCTTGAAGGCTCTCCCAATTACACAAATGATCGTGCAATTTACTACTCGTTGTTTATCAGTAGTTATATAATGTAGGAGTTGGCGGAAGTTATGACAAAATGGTGCTTATTATTTATACTAATTTCCCAAGTTTACAGAACCATCTACTCTACTTTGCGTTTTATTCGTAGTACTTTGTAATACTATACTTCAAACAAGAAGATGAAAATAACACTAAAACCAGTCTTGTGATTCGTTAAAAAATATACTTGAACGGAGGAGTACTAGCTAATGATTTTACGAGCATTTCATTCAAGGGTGTCCACAGTTGAGATTTGAATCCATGTTTGTACGTGCAATAATCTGTTTTATTAAGATCAATATTTTAAAAATTGAATTTGTGCTAACCAGGTCAACTGAGTCTATCTATGTGATGAATTCTGTTCATGGTATCACAAAGTTAATGCAATTAAACTCCTTATTAACAAAATTCAGCCACTTTTACCCCTATCATTATAATAGACGACAACATAGAAAGATATTATCTAGTTTGTAAGTTTCCCATCCAGATTTCTCATAAAAGGTCAATTAGTTACATGAATTATGAGATCATAAAAACATTTGTTGCACAATGTGTCTATTTTGTTTGATTATTTTAGATTCATAATCGTAGTCATATATTTAGAAGAAGGTAATTTAGAGTGAACAGTTGATAATCTAAAATATAGATGGAAGTGGAGTAAGCACTAAGTCGATCGGAGGACATTTAGGGCTCAATCTTTTGATTGAAGGAACAGCAGAAGTGGGCGAAAAGAGGGTGATGCTAGCTATGTAGCGTAAACAGAAAAGACGAAGAGGGATATTCCCGGCATTGAATAGTTGTTTTCTTGTACTTTCTGCGAATGTGAACGGAGGACAGTTGAGGTGGAGAGTGAGGGAGAGAGACTAAGCGAAGAGACGTAAACAACATTCTTTTCCCTCCATTTCGAAGTTTTACAAATACATGCTTTCGAGCATACGTGTGTGTGTGTGTTTGCATGCATGCAAAAAACAGTATGATCTGATTAGTAAATTGTAGCTGCATCCTCAAAATAACCCTCATCCTGCACCCCACCCCCACCCTCCATCCCCACTTTTCTTTCAGAAATGAATGCGTCAAAAAAGGCGCCATTTCTGACCTTTGTTTAAATGTGCATAACTTGACGGGCTTGGGGGGAGATTGATGGTTATTTTTGAATGTGAAGTATCAACAATGTGAAAAGCTCTATAAGTATGAATTTTGTATCGCAAATGAACTGAAAATACTGGGGGGGGGGATTTTTGATATCAATGGCGTAAGTTTGAAAAATTAATGTGCTGTTTGTTTTGGACATTTGAGGATTAATCAAAACATGATTTCCAAAGGCCAGTACTTAGTACCATTCAAGAAACAAATACCGCCAAAAACCATAGTAAAATTGTTAGAATTTTGACGATGAATTGGGCACCCCTACTGGAGATCAGCAATATCAAATTTACTTTGACATAAGTCATTTATCAAACTCTAATAAGCTCTACGTTAGTTAGTATTGGTGGAATAAAAATTACTTATTGTATTAGGGTGGTATGACCAAATGCTTGATCAAATTAGTTGGTCAATAAGGCTTGAAAATCGCAGACGAAATTTGCCCTCCACCCCCAAGTGCCATGGGCTTCAGTTTGAATTGTGGATAGAAAAGCAGTTCATTGACCTTTAGTTGAGTGCTGGAACTACCTATCCTTATTCTCCTCGTCTTTAAGTCACCCACTCTCCAACGATTAAAAATTGTATTGCTTTGGCTTATCATGGGGAATTATAATGTTATACCTTGAATCATGTACTTTGTAGGTCATAGTGATTCAACGTAAGTACATAAATCCAAACAAGGTAGTATAAGCTTGTGTAGACAAGACAGCGGTCCGAATGACAGCGCAGTAGGATTAAACAAACATAACAAGACAAATAACTGCCATTGGGGTAGTGGAATACCAACTTGTAATCAGATATCGTTTCTTTTAATTAGAAATGAAAGGTTATCTGTACAGGTCTCTGTTAATTATCAATAGTCAAATTCAATGCATCTAAATCAGTATCGTGATGTTGAACATCTTCAAAAGTACACTATTTTCTGCCTTAATTTTATTGACAGTCATGATTCTGAAGCTTATTTAATTTGGAATCTGCAGAGTTGAGGGGTATGTGCTCGATACCATTGTAATCTTTCTAGAGAAGGATATGAACAATTTTAAGAGATGGAAACAGGTAGATGATGAGCAGAATGTGAGTTTCGCAGCTTTCTAGAAGCTTAAAATTAATCTTCTCACAAAGAGGACTTGAAATTACTGCTTTATAACAAATTTAGAGCATAGGATGAGAATAAATAAAACGAGAAATCCACGAGAATTTAAACAGACATGACAATCCTTAAGCTTCCCTGTGCATAATTTAGTTCATAATCCATTCCTGATGTCCAGTGCAAGTCTAACAAACGTCAAAAAATCCACTTAAAATTTTCATTGTGACTCTAAACTTATTCAATTTTGAATCCATTTAGTTGAGCAATTCTTACTGAAAAGAATTCATTCAAACCATTATATCACATGCCCGAAATGGCAATTGAGAATATTTATTTTATTTATTTATTTCAAATGGCAGGCGTTTTGATAGTTATCATTAGCCCTTTAGCTGACTTCAGGCTTCATAGAGAGGCGGAGGAACATCAAAGTGGCAAAAAGTCGAGAGGGGGGACAGAATAATGATTCACAGATGTGACAGAGACAGACAAAAGAGCAGAGAAAAGGTAAGCTGAGTACTGTGAAATGGGTTGAATATGGCATACAGTGGGGTCATGGTAGTTTGAAGTCAGAAATCAACTGCCAGTTAACAGACTTTTTTGCCGTACGAGCATACTTTGCCCAGGGTGCACCACGCGGAGGTAAGTCTATCGCAATTGAGAATATTATATGCTATGACAACTAAGTGCGACACAACCCCCCCCCCTCTTATATAAAAGATTTTTCACGACAAAAGCCCCAGAGCTCTGATAATTATTAATTATACCCTCAGAAAAAACTCTATATATCAACCATGTTTAAACCAACTCGAATGAAAGGACTATTAATAGGCATAACGAATGAACATTCAACCTAAATTAATAACTAAAGAAAAAGCGTCAAGACACATTTTTCTGTCGCTGTAGTTCCATCCGAAGTAACTAAGATATTTGCTAATAAGTAAGGTCTTTAACTTCA